GGAGTGTGGTGGCGCTCCCGCCGAGGGTTCGGATCCCATGTGGAGACCGGTTCCTGCTCACTGGCTGAGCGTGGTGCGGGCGCAACGGTTGTGATCCCATTGCTGGTCCCGGTCTGGTACTGGCGCGACACTGAGGGTTGCGATCCGTTGCCGATCACGAAAAAAGTCAAAAAGGAAAAAAAAAAAAAAAGAAGTGAAAAAAGAAACCTTACAACTAACAGCACAGAAATACAAATCTTTAAGATTCTGTTTCTCTAGAAACACTCCTGGTACCAAAATCTGTGTTAGTCATGGTTCTCCAGAGAGACAGAATCAATAGGATGTGTTATGATTATATGAGAGGCAATGAAGAAAAGTCCCACCATAGGAGTCTATAAACTGGATGCTGGTCGCATGGCTCAGTACAAGTCCAAAGGCCTCAGAACCAGGGAAGCTGATGGTGTCCATGGTGTAAGTCCTGGAACCCAAAAGCAGAAGAGTCTCAAGCTCTGATGTCCATGGACAGGGGACAGGAGTGTGTCCCAGCTCCAGCCAATCAAGGGAGAGCCTCACCTCTTCCTTCTGTCTTTTGTTCTCTCTGGATCCGGAGTGGATCAGATGGTTCCCACCCACACTGAGGGTGGGTCTTTCCCACCCAGGCCACTCAGACTCTCATGCTAATCTCTGCTGGAAACACCCTCATGGACACACCTGAAAAGATTGCTTTACCAGGTCTCCCAGCATTCCTTCATCTAACCAAGTTGACATCTAGAACTAACCTTCACAACTCCCATTCATTATCTGTGCTTCTCCTTCCACAACGTATTTCCAGGAAGCAGTATCAATCCTCTGACTACATTTTATGGCTCCCTGGCATATTCCTGCGTTTGTGACTAGTTCTCTGTCAAGGGAATGGAAACTGAGGTGATGTGTGTAATTTCTAGGCTCAGGGATTTAAAAAGCAGTTGTGCCTTCTCTTGCCTCTTTTTCCACACTCACTAGCTGAATGCAGGAGACTCTGGAGCCCTAGAAGGAAGGAACATGGTCCCTGAATCAGGACAAGGAAGGCCACCTGCCAAGAAAGAACACCTGCTCTGGACTCTTCTGTGAGTGAGAAGCAAACTTTCATTATGCAAACCACTGACATGCACGGATTTACTTGTTATAGCAGCTGGAGTTATATTAACAAATCACAGTTGCCCACTATGACCTTGTTGCTAAATATAAAGAACACATACAGCTCAGTCCTTGACTCTATTAATTGTTCAACGACATTAATAGCTTTAAACGCTCACTCCCTTTTGAAATTCCTCTTAACTTTGCCCTTTGCCTTCTTACTAAGACTGAATTCTGCAGCTCCCACCAACACTGCCACATCTGCCTGTCCCCACTTTTACCTTCAACTTTCCTGGCTTCTCCATTTCGTGTCCCTTCACCACTTCTTCTCGTTCAAAGTTCATACTCTCCAAATCTCTGTTCAGGGCCCATTTCTTTTCCTGGGCAGTATCAACCACTTCGAACCTACTGGAAAGTCATTTCTTACTGACTAGTAGCTTCGCCTGGAGGAAGGTGACAGTTAATGACTTTGAAAAATATTGAAACACTCAGAAAACATATGAAAATGTGATATGTTCCTCATGTAGTTTGCATTTCACTATTCTGTTTTAAAGTTTTACTGTAAGGAGTCAGTGATATACAGGAGGTCTTCAAAAATTTCAGGGAAGGATTTGTATTATCTTTCAGTTCTATTTTTCCGAAACCTTTTTGACATACCCACATAGAGATTTTAGCTTACTTGGTCATTTGTTCTTCCTTTTACAAATGAATCTTTCTTGGTGCCCTCAAATCACAATATTTAGGTTGATTTTACTTTACCCTATGCATAATTTATAGTAACCTGAATTATTTATTCCTCGAGCAAAAAAACGATTAAGAACTTAACATGGGCCCATGCTGCTCAGAGTATTGGAGACACAGTATTGAAAAGGAGAGACAAGAGCCTTGCTTTCCTGGAGCTTTTTGTAATAGAGGAAAATAGATGATAAACACATAAACTAATTTCAGACTGAGAGAAAGGCTGTGAAGACCATAAACTCTAGTCATGGGAATACATGGGATAACAGGCAGTCATGGGATGGGGGTTGCTATTTATTTGGGGTAACAGTAAAGCATGCTGAGGAAACAACTGGTGATGAGATCTGAATGAGGAGGAGCAGCCATGTAAAGATCTGGGGAGAGAAAATCAAGGACAAAAGGAACAATGATCTCTGTTTGAAAAAACAAAAGACCACGAGTGTGGCTAGAGGATATGGTACAACACGGGCCGGAGAAGCAGAAGAGGAACTGGCCATGGGAAGGAATGTGGATTTGGGGTATTGTGAACATACTGGCCAGCATTTGGAGGGAATACAGCTGGGAGGACAGAAGAGTTAGGGAGACCTATACATCCACACCACTAACAGAAAGGATGACTTGGGGAAAGTCACTTGATTCCTCAGGCTTTTGGATTCACTTTTGCAGAACATGGGTGTTGGAATAATAGGCACTAATGTTTTGTCTGGATCTAGGAAATCAATAAGAAAATAAGAAATATTCTGGGGCTGGCCCAGTGGCGCACTGGATAGTGTGCCGCTTGGGAGGCGCGGCGGCGCTCCCGCCCGAGGGTTCGGATCCCACATACAGACCGGAGCCTCTTCTCAAGTGCAGCATTTCAGGGAGTATAGATGGAGCCCCTGTTTCAGGCCCTGGATTCTGGGCACAAAAGACTGACACTGTTGCTGTCTCCCAGGACCAGTAGGCTGTGGGCTGGGAAAGTGTTGAGACCAATGGACCTACATCACAGCGACGTGTGCCTGGTGTCAAGGAAATGGGCCGTGAAGCCAGAGTATGGGGGTAAAATCCTGATTATGTCAACAATGGATATTTCATACAATTTGAAAAGAATTGCTGAACATATCTGCATACTTTCATCTAACGTAGATATAAAGTTATTCCAAAAATGGAATCTTCCTCAATTCTAGTTTTGTTTGCATTTAACATGAGCAATTACTCCTGCCATTCAATGATTTTGAAAATACGATTTGAATTTGTGAATAGTATTTCTTACTATATCTTATCCATAAGTTACATGTTGCCGTCATCTTAATGGACCAAACGCCTCTGGTTCTTCTCTGCACGTGGTGTTCATTTCCTACCATCTTCAGGTAGCTTCCTAATCTAGAATATTCTGATGGCCTCCTGGATCGCTTTACCCTTTCCTCTCTTAGAATGGCAGCCACCCGATAGCACGTCTTCTCTTCTTCCTTATACTGGGATCATCTCCCAAGCCAGGGTGCAGCTGAATCAGCTCTTTCTCCAGCTCTCGGCACCATGCTTGGCATATGATAGATACACACAGAGAGAGCAGAGAAGACAGAGCACAAGACTCTAGTGACAGGCGTGTTACAATGACATTTAGAAAGTGACACCTTCTCACTTTTGATACTCTATTGGTTAGAAGTGAGTCACTAAGTCCAGTCCACACTGCAGGGCAGGGGATTGCGTGAGGATGTATGCAGCAGATGGTGGGGACCACTGGGAGACCCTGAGGAGTCACACACCACACAGAGATGTGGCACTTGAGTCCAAACCTAAATATACATGAAGCCATTGTGAGGTTTTATGGAGGAAAGCAGTATGTGAATGCATGAAATTCCAACTGTCGCATGGTGCAGATAGGGAAAACAGGCCAAGAGCAAAAGTGACATTTTCAAGATGAGATGACAGGAACCAGACCTGTCGTTAGTCGTATTCCATGCTACTTTCCACACCATCATGGATTTTATCTCTAGTCCTGTTTATTAGCTGCATGTGACACTGGCCATAGGTTTTAGAGATGTTTTTTCACACATGCCTGATGCCATCCCCAGGAAGAGGATGCTAGAATGATCACCACTGTGCAGAAGGGGAGACTGGGGAGGTCCTGAGAGTCACAGTGGCTTGTCCAGGGTCACATAAGTGATAAGAAGCAGGAGCTGGGGCTGAACCTACATGTATCTCCTCTGAGTTGTGATGCTGGCTGCACCCAGGCCTTGCACAGGGGTGTGGTCAGGCAGTGTTGGTGGAAGTGTGGGCAATAGAGAGAGTTCATGGGGAAGGAGGGTCAGCAGTCAGGTACCCAGAGGGGCATTTGCAGTCTTGTACACAGAGGAGAGGCCCAGGAAATGAGGTACCAGGAAGTGACCTCACTTCCTTGATGACAGACCCCCAACAGAACTCGGAACTCAGTAACCTGGCACCCACATTCTATACAAAGCCCCTTCCCCAGCTCACTTGGCTACAGGCAGAGTGAGATGTTGTGCTGTGTCCCGAGGTCCTGCGGCTGTAGCCCCAGGAAGCCCTGTGCTGAGAGGCTTGTCTGATGCTTCCGGCACTGGTTCAACCCTTGCCCTCTACTCCTGTGGCCATTTGGCAGGAGGTCCCCAAAGGTAATGTCAGGTGGCCCAGAGAAGTGTGTGCCAGGCAAGGCCAGCACTGTGAGCCTCCCTGGGTGACCACACACTCCTCCTGAGTGTGTGGGGAATGGGGACATGGGACACCCTCCCTGGGCAGGGGCAGAGGGTGGGGGGGCTATAAACCTGTTGGTCCTGGTGTGTTCACACCTCAGGTCATGGCTGGAGGGTGAAAGGGGACTGCTGGGGTAGCAACCACCACCCTGTACATTAACCCTGGGCCCTCAGGCTATCTTCTCATGTCCTCCCTGGGGTTAAGACTGGCCTCCAGCCCCTTCCCTCCTGTGGGTTCATGGTGCAGTCGCTGTGTATCTCTCCTATGTCCTGTCCTAGAGTGAAGAAAACTCTTCCCTGAGCCCGGATGCCACCCACATGGTATGGCCTGTCCCGGCAGGCACCCTGCAGAAGCGGGTGGAGCACCTGGTGCCCGCTGTCCTGGGTGGTGACCGATCTTACGTGCACACATTTCTTTTGAGCTACAGGAACTTCAGTCCCAAGCAGGTGCTGGACCTGCTTTTCTTCAGGTGAGCACTCTGGCCCTTGATCGCAAAGTGTCACTAGGCCACCTCCCAGCTGTGAGTCTTGGGACTGTCACCACACCCCTCCGAGCCTCAGTTTCCTCCTGTGATCA